CCCCACCCTCCCCTGCCCTCCACCCGCCCTCCACCCGCCCTCCCCTGCCCTGGCCCCTCTGGCACCTGGCTTTGATTCCCGCGGGAGTCGCCCTCAATGACAGCTCCCAGGCAAGAATGACAAGAGGCACCGGTTAAGGTTTTATTTTGGGAGCTCTTCACTTCTATTTAAATATTTCTAGGCAATGAGAGCTTCCTTTGCAGCCCAAGAGAGCGGTCCGGACCTCTGGAGAGGAGCTGAACTGTCAGAAGTTACGTTTATGCAAACTCTGTCCTCGCCCCTGCCCCCAGCCTCACCCGGAAGGGAGAAGGTCAAGAGCAGAGGATGGATGGAAACACGGACACCCAGCTGCCCGTCTGCCTTTCCCAGAGGGGCCGCTTGGCAAAGCCTCACAGAAAAGGCACAGGGCGGGAGGGACTCCCTGCTCCGGGTCCCCTCCCCGCCCCCTCTGCCCGGGGTCACTGGGACACCCGGGGACCTGCTTCTGCAGCTCACCTGGGAAAGGGAACCGCAGCCAGACACTCCGGGGAGAGGCAGTGCTGCTTCTCTGGAAAGTGAACAGATGGACCTGAGCGCCTGCCTGTTGCTTGTGCTGTTTGTGCGTTTGCCTCTCGTCCAAGAGCAAATCTGCAGAGAAAGCCTCCCCGGGGGCTCCAGCGGCCCGGGTGGGACGGGGGGGGGGGGGACGATGGGGTGTCTGCTCCTTTGCTAGTGTCAGGCCCGGCGCAGAGGACCTGGGGTTCGAAGGAAACCCCGAAGGCAAGCCACTCCGGAGCACCAGCAGGAGTGTGGCGGCCGCCCCTCAGGCGCAGGTTTCGGGGAACGGGGTTGCACTGAAGCAGTTCCGGATACCGGCTTTCTCCTCCTTAGGACACAACCCCACACACCGGTTCCTCCAACACCAGCTCTCCTTTCCCGTCTCTGCTGGTCCCGAGCCCGGCGCGCCCGGCCGCTTTCTGCGCCTCCTAAGCGGCTCTGCTCCACCCATGGGAAGGTGCACCTCGAGGTGCTTGGCTGGTCGGGGGAGAAATGACAACCGTGACCATGGCACCACGGTCTGTCCCCTCCTCCCGGCCACCTCACTAAGTGCTCTGGAGGGACAGCCCCACCTCAGCCTGAGCGCAGCCCCGGAATGGACCCTGCAAGGCGGGAATGAAACCCACACCTTCACTCGCTGGGGTCCCAGAGCTGAGCCTGCAGCCTCTGTCCTTACCCAGACCCCCCATCAGCCAGGCCCCCAGCCCTCCTCCCACACCCTGAGCTCACTGCCTGAGGCGCTCTGCGGGGTGCGGGGCTCCTGAGGGTGCTCTGCGTCACCTGGCAGGACCACACACCTGTCTGTGGGACAGATGGACAGATGAACATCAGATGGACAGAAACCAGAGGAGAGAACAGGATGTGCCTCCTGCTCTTCCCCGCCGGTCTCTCCAGCTCAAGCAGAGCAAGCCCCTGTTAGGCCTGGGGTAACCGAGGGGCGCGGGGAGAAGGCTGAAGGGCACCCGGAGCCCGGTCAGGGAGCGCGGACGCAGGACTCAGAGACACTGCCCCACCTGCAGCCCCGTGCTGGCGGCCCCTCAGCAGCCACGCCTCACCTGCCTTCTGGTTCCTCCCAGGAACGAGGCCCACGCTCACAGCTGAGAGGCCACCGGGACCAGGCGATGGTCCTGCTCCATGGCCCGGGCTGGGCCTGCTGTGCGCCAGTGTGAGCCAGTGCAGCCCAGGGGGGGGCCCGCCTGCCCTCCAGCCCACTGGCACTCGAACTTCGCTTACATTTCTGCATGTGTTAGTCTATTTTTAAGTCATCCTTGGTATACCGGGCATTCTGGAACCTGTGCAATTTCCACACTGCCAGGGGCAAACCTCCAGCCAAATGCTACAAATCCTGCCCCTCGTGCTGTTCCGAGTGTCTCATGAACCTGCACTCCCCACCTGCCTGGAGCCTGGAGCCAACACAATAATAATAAGTCTATGTAATAAAAGGTGATTTGCAAATTGTCCCCTCCACCGGAGTTCTGCGGAGGTCAACCAGGGGGCGGTGCTGGCCCGCCAACTGCCTGGGGCCCCTCCGTCCCTCTGCCTCCACCCCCCAATCAGCCCCCTGATCTCTGATGATCTGGGTGGGGCAGGCCGGCCAGACCCCTCTGTCACCAATCTGTGCACCCACCTCTAGTAATGATAATAACAACAGCCTCTGTCATTTTGAGTCACTGGGCTAGGGGCACTTTGTTGGCAGCAGTAAGTATATCACCAGTGCGTGTGTGGCCATGAGCTTATTTTTTTAAATATATTTCATTTATTTTTCACAGAGAGGAAGGGAGAGGGATAGAGAGCCAGAAATATCGATGAGAGAGACACATTGACCAGCCGCCTCCTGCACAGCCCCCACCGGGGATGTGCCCGCAACCAATGCACATGTCCCAGACCGGAATCGAACCTGGGACCCTTCAGTCCTCAGACCGACGCTCTATCCACTGAGCCAAACAGGTTTCGGCCATGAACTTATTTTTAAAACTTAGAAAGAAGCCCTCTTGCTAGCAAGAATTGCCCAATGCTGGGGCGGGGACCAGAGGAAAGAGTGAGACCCCATGACGCTGTGACCCAAGAACAATCCCCGCGGCCAGAGAAGGAAAGCCTCTCCCAGTGGAGCTTGTGCTGGCAGCAGCCCCACAGCTGCCGGCCTGGGCTGAGCAGGTCCTGTGCCCGGTCCCGCCTCTGTTCCAGGGCACAGGCACTGCCCTGCTCAGCAGCCAGGACCCATGTCAGAGACCCCAGGACGGTGAGTGCCATCCCACCTCTCCCCTCAGCCCAAACCCCGGCTTCGCCAGGGAATGAGACTCTCAGGGGCGGATCTTGGCCCTCGATGCCCACCGGGCGGGCCAGCACCGGCAGCACACAGCACCTGGGGTGTCCGTGTGGGCAGCAGGTCCCTGAACTCTCCAGCTGCCACGGGGCTCCGCTCCCCGAAAGCCCTCACAGTGCCAGGTGCACGCCAGTCACCAATGGACACACCCAGGGTCAGCCTCCCTGCGGGCAGAGGTCGGAGAGCTGGGGCGTGGCTGCGCCTGGCGGGCTCTGAGGTGCAGGCAGAGCTGTCTAGCTGCTGCCCGGGGCCAGACCAGGGCCTGCCATGCACTTGGTGGAACAAGGCCTCCAAGTGACATTTCCTGGGTGGTTTAAGCAAACGCCTTGTCATAATATTTGTGCTAAGTCTCCTTTTGTGATTTTCTAAGCTCTTAGGCTGGCTCAAAGAGAAGCCTTTGAAAGGAAAGCCGGCTTAGCAGAAAGGTCATGGGTTTGAAAACCAAACAGTGAGCTGAGGCGGCCGGGGAGACCGCGTTTTTGCGGGCACGGTCCTAGCAGCGCCAGCGACAGCCCCCGGCTGTGCCTTCCCCTCAGGGGACTCCTGGGAGAGGAGGACAGAGGGTACTGTGGTTGGCAAAACCCAACGTTACCATCACTCCCTTTTGTGACGCAGACAGCAGGTCCAACCCCGTGGTCTCTTCACTGGTGGGTCTGTCCTCCAGAGAGCAGACCTGGTCTGATGGGTGGGGTTTTAAAGACCCTCTGTCAGCCACGGCACTCCTCCCGCCACCCCAACGGTGCCCGCAGACCACCCTCGCTCCCGCCCAGCTGCTCGCCCGCCACCCCTGTGGCCCCGCGGCCAGCTTCGTAACAGCCTGGCCTGGAGCATCGGTCCGTTCAGGACAAACCGAGGCCCGGAGAAGCGGGAGCGCTGGCCCCGGGCAGCAGCAGGGCCCAGTCTGAGCCCGCGTGGCCGAGCTGGCTGAGCTGGCCTCTGACAGGGGGACGCTGGTGCTTGCTTCGAAGCTGCGTGTTTAAGCCATAATGCCGTGTGCACAGCTCCCTGGGACACCGCTGTGGGGGCACAGGCATCCCAAGCTGCAAACAGGAATAAGCAGGGCCCAGCAGCTGATGGCTCATGAACCTAAACTTCCAGGACAGGTTCCTGGGCTCACCCTTTACTCACCAGCTCCCACCTCCCTGCTCACTGCCCTCAGCCCACGGGGCTTCTCGTCCCAGCACAGCAGGCACCCGCCAGTCCACAGCCAGTCCACGCCGGGACAGGGACAGGCTCTGAGGCCCCGGCCAGCGCAGGCTCTCCAGGTGACTTCTGACCCCAAATCAGACCCCATAAGGAGGCTGCGAGTCACTCACACCCCCAGCAGCCCCCGGGCACAGGGACCGGACCCTTGCATGGGAGGCGTGTTGCTTTGCTCCTGCCTCCTGCCTCCTGCCTCCCGCCTCCCTCTCCACCCACCTAGCTGTGCTGGAGCCCCAGGGCACCCAACTTCTAGCTGCCCCCCCAGGAAGGGCCAGCCCGCCACCCCAGCAGGAAGGCTGGGGCCCCGCCCCTGATGGATTGAGGAGTGGGAGGCGGGGCGGGGCGGGTGAGGCGGGCGAGGCGGGTAGGGAATAGGGGGCGGGTGGGGGGGCGGGGCGGGTGGGGGGCGGGGCGGGGGGCGGGGCGGGGAAGGGGAGGCGGGGAAGGGGAGGCAAGGCGGAGTGAGGAGGGGGACGTGTGGGGAGGGGCGGAGGCAGCCCCTCTCCGGAAAGCGGGGAAGGCCTGGGGAAGAAGGCCTGTGGCCGGGGGAGGGTCCCTGGAAACAGTCAGCATCCCTGCCGCCCACCCCAATGCCCTGGGTGCTGCTGGGGCCGCCTCCCCTCTTCGCTCAGCGGGAGCCCGAGGCCCGGCGGGCGGGTGGAGCTGGGGGGCGTGCCGGGCGCGGGGTGCCGAGCGGGAGAGAGCTCGCTCGCACAGGCTCGCCCGCAGCGGCGGGAGGGAGGGCGGGGCGGGAGCCGCGGAGCTGGAGTCTGAGCCCAGCGGAACGCAGATCCCAGCGAGCGCTCCGGGGGCGCGTCCGGCCGCTGGCTCCCGCTGGAGAGCGCCCCCTTGGCCCTCGGGCGTGGCAGCCCACCACCTGAGACACGCCCACCCCTTGGACTTGGCGGCTGACCGCCGGCCCCGGCCCCCGCTCGCCATGCGCCTCAATGGCTCGGCCGCCGGCCCCGGCCCCCTGGGCGCCCGGCCCTCCCCGCTGCCGCCCGCCGGCCCCGGCTGGGACAACGCCTCCGAGGGGGAGCGGGCGGCCCCGGGCAGCGACCTGGACGTGGACACGGACATCTACTCCAAGGTGCTGGTGACCGCCGTGTACCTGGCGCTCTTCGCCGTGGGCACGGTGGGCAACGCGGTGACGGCGCTCACGCTGGCGCGGAAGCGCTCGCTGCGGAGCCTGCAGAGCACCGTGCACTACCACCTGGGCAGCCTGGCGCTCTCCGACCTGCTCATCCTGCTGCTGGCCATGCCCGTGGAGCTGTACAACTTCATCTGGGTGCACCACCCCTGGGCCTTCGGCGACGCCGTCTGCAGGGGCTACTACTTCCTGCGCGACGCCTGCACCTACGCCACGGCCCTCAACGTGGCCAGCCTGAGCCTGGAGCGCTACCTGGCCATCTGCCACCCCTTCAAGGCCAAGACCCTCATGTCCCGGAGCCGCACCAAGAAGTTCATCGGCGCCATCTGGGTGGCCGCCGGCCTGCTGGCCGTGCCCATGCTCTTCGCCATGGGCCAGCAGAGCCGCGGCGCCGACGCCCAGCACCCCGGCAGCCTGGTGTGCACGCCCGTCGTCAGCGCGGCCACCATCAAGGTCGTCATCCAGGTGAGCGCCTTCCCGAGAGGAGGGGAGCCAGGTCTCTTCCCTTCACCCCTAGAGGATCCCCTCTGGACACAGGGGGCGAGAAACATTGCTGAGAAATGCTGGGGAGGGGTGGGGAGCGCCCTTCCTGTCACCTTTGACTCCAGGGTTGGGGCCTCAGCCCTTTATCTCATCCCCTCCTCCTGCCGAAGGGGCGGGGCCCTGAGCCTGACCTCTGGGGCCTCCAGGTTCCCTGTGTGCTGGGCCAGCTCCAGGGCCCTGCCCGGCTCTCGGGGACCCCTGGTCCCGAAGGAGGGAGTCTGTCTCCTCTGCAGCAGGTGCCCAGGCTGCCCTGCCTCCTGGCAGGCACCAGGCTGGCCAAGGCTTGGGAGGCCACTGATTGGTCTAGCCTTAGTTTCCCCACCCGTGCGACAGGCACCCAGAGCCCTGACCTCAGCAGGCAGAGGCTGGAGAGCTGTGGGGAGGGGGGTTCAGCCACAGACAGGCTCGGAGGTGCCCTCTGGGCATGGTGGAGACCATGTTGTCTTTGCTGGGCAGACCGGAGTCTGGGCGTGGTGGCAGGTGGGGGCTGTGTGAGGCAAGCACCTTGCAGCCAGCAGCCGCTGCTCTCCCGGTCTGAGCACGGCGCCCCTGGGACTCCACCCGGGCAATCGCTTGGAGGAGGGACCTGGCTGGATGGGGACCCAGCCCCCCACAAAAGGCTTGTCCGGCAGGACTTCCAGGAGAAGGCATCCACGGAGGAGTCTGGCATTGTGGCTCTAGGCCCCGGGCAGCCACGGCGGGGCAGGGTGAGACAGGGAGGCCAGAGCAGCGCTGTCCCAGCGGGCTCATCTCACCCACGAGCCATACCTGCCGACCAGGTGGTGCTGATGCCCCTGGAGTGGACTGGGGCAGGGGGGCAGCAACGGGGCAGGTGCTGTCATCTCCCTGCACTCGGTCCCTGGGCTGTGACCTCCTGGGTCCCCTCCCCTCTGCTGAGGACTTGCAGCCCCCGGTGCCACGTGAGAGGCCCGGTCCCACGTAGCCACGCGCAGTGGGCAGAGTCACCGCGGGGCCGCCCGCCACGCTCCCTGTGCTGGAGGCACTGGCGCCGTGGGAATCACCTTTTTTCTTCTTAGAACTCCGTTTTCTTCCCGAGCTCCTGTCTTGACCGGCTGTGCCCAGGGGCCTCTCCCAGCCTGCCTTGGCATTGAGGGGGCAGCAGCCATGCCATCTGCCTTCAAAGGTGTGAGGTGGCTGGCTTAGGTCAGCAGCTCGCTGCCCACCCAGGAGATGCCTCAAGCCACCTGCAGGCTCAGCCAGGAGCTGCCGAGCGGATCACCGTCAGAACAAGAGCAGGGGCAGCCGCTTAACATCCTCCTCTGACCGGCCGCTTGGCCCCCGCAGAGCAGACACCCGCAGCACCGCCCACCCCGAAGGGCCGTTCTGCGTCCTTGAGCGGCAGCCGTGGCACGGGCCGTGGATGTCCTTCCCTCGGCCACTGGGCCATGGTCTGCCGGGTGTCCACGGTGGCCTGGCATTGCTTCTGCTCCCAAATTTGCCAAAGACCCGGGTGCTCCCCACCCCTCTCTCCAAAGGCTGCGAGCACTCGGCACGCTGGACGCTCGTCCACCTGGCCCACAGCTCCCAGGGCCCTGCCCCGCTCTCCGCCCCTGTACTCCAACGCCCCCTGTACTCACATGTGCTCCTCACAAGGCGTGGCCTCGGCCTGCCGCCTTCCTCTCCTGCGTGGCCATCGCCCTCCCAGGCATTTCCCAGGGGACAGTCCTGCTCGGGCTCCTGGCACTTGACAGTCTGGGCAAACTTCTGCTGCTTTTACAGTGACATCCGGCCAGAGAGCAGCGGGGTGCCGGTGTCGGTGTGTCTCGGCTTGTGCACTGTGTTCGGAGGGGCTGGCCAATCACGGTCCCTCCCCACACGGGCTCTCCCAGCGCCGCCTCTGAGGGCCCCTCCTGGGCTGTAAGCAGGTCGTGGTTAGGAATGGGTTGTGACAAAGAAACCTGGTCAGCTTGAAGCGGTAGCACAGGGGGTGCTTCCTGAGGGCAGCCAGGGCCACAGGCCTAGCAGAGCTGATGGGGAGGACGGGCGGCCCCCGGCCGGCACAGGCAGGGCCAGAGCATGAGGAACCTGTGTGAGCGAGCGGGCAGGTGCTCGTCCGTGAGGAAGTCCCCTCTCGGAGCAGGGCGGCCCCACTGTCCACGCAGGCGTCTTGGAGGCAGCGGGCCTGTCCCCACCGTCCCTGCCGACCCCGCTCGGACTTGGCGTGTTTCAGGTCCTGCTGTCGCAGGCTCCGCGTGGCTGGCTTCCGGTGGCAAGGCCCTCGTCAGGTGGCACAGTGACTGTCCACTGAGTGGCGGCCAGGAGGGCCATGAGCTGAGACGCTCACACCCACGTGGCCGGCCCTCTCCTGTCCGGCATCGGCAGGCGGGAGCCGAGCCCTGTGGGAGCAGCGGCGGGGCGGTCCTGGCGTGGCCTCGTGACTGCCGGGTCTGGGGCCCGCCTCCCCACTGCTGCTGCAGAAAACCTTTCAGGTTCAGTGCCAACAGAGGGGCCCCTCGCTGGGAGGCCAGCCCGGGGCGGGCGCCCTCCCTGGGGAAGTGGGTGTCCGGGAGGAGAGCAGGACCACCTGTGCGGCTGCCCGAGCGCCGGGCCAGTCACATCCCACGTGGTGCCATGGAGGCAGGGGCAGCGGGCGGGACCTGCCTCCACAAAGAGCAGGGAACTGGCCGCAGTGAGGCCACCAACCACCTGTCAGTTCTGGGCTGCGGCCAGCGACCTCCCCGTGGACGGTGCTCTGAGGGCACCCACCGTCCACCGGCTCACGCCCCTCGCTCCGGTGGGAGAGTTGAGCTATAAACATGCGTGTGCCGGGCCTTGTGTGAATGCACCTTTTCCTTTACCCTGAGGAGGTACTTAGGAGTCAGACCGCTGGACGTACAGTGGTCTCGGCCAAGGTCACGGAGATGTCCTCGGCTGTCTCCTAGAGATCCTCAGTTTTGTGTCATGTTGAGGGTTAGGGTCCATTCTGAGCCGGTTTTCAGCAGCGTGGCAGGCCTGAGCCTTTTGGCACTCAGGCGCCTGAGTGGCCAGGCCCGTGAGGAGAGGCTTCTCCCAGGGAGGTGTTGGCACTCTAATAAATGCCCGGCCCTGCTTGGAGCCCCCGTCCTCCCCCTGTGCCCTGCCCGCCCGCCGCGCTGCTGTGATGACAGCTCTACGGTCTTCCCGGCGCCGGCACGCCAAACAGCAGGCACGCCTGAGGCAGAGCGAGCCTTCGCCGTCCCTCTTCTCCCCTCCCCGGCCCCGCTCCCCCGGGCCCGTGCTTCCTGCAAGCGTTAGAGTCGGCTTTCCAGCCAGTGCGAATGGAGAGCCTGCAGCAACGCCGACTGGCCGCGCACCTCTAGGCTGACTGCGGAGACGGGGTCTGGTACTCACCAGTTCCTTGGGGCCCCTTTCATCTCTGCCATGGGCATTCCCAGGTGCAGATCCTACACGTCTATGACCCTCTCTCCGTGGGGTTCTTGTAACAGCTGCACTCAGCCATCCACACGCATCCTCGGGTTCCCAGGTCGTGTTCCTGTTCACGCCTGACGCTGCCCGCGCCTCGCTCTGTACAGGCAGCTCTGCACTGACTGCTTTTCGCTGCCTCTGCATACCCAGGCATCTTGGTGCTGGGCTCTGCTGTGTCTCTGAGGAGTGGGCATTCTTGCTTCAGCTGGCTGCTCAGTTGCTGGCCTCTCGAACTTGGGCAGACTCGCTTTTATGCCTCCTTAGTCCCGATTCCGTCTCCTGGGGACTTGCCGGTTAGAACTGGCTGCTGAGAGCAGGTGTAGCCGGACCCTCCCGAGGGCGCTGTCCTCCCTCCTAAGGTGAGCTGGCCGGCTTCCCGGGGCAGAGCGGGATGGCAATGAGACCCTCCCCCAGCTCTGCCAGCTGCCAGCTGCCCTGCCCTGGCCTGTCACAGGTTGTCTGTGCACACAGCCCCACAACCCACAGGCTGCTCCCACCCGTCCTGCAGGTCTCCCCTCCCGTGTCTCCCTCCTGGCCACCCCAATCCCACATCTCTGCCTCCTCCGCAGGAACAGCCAGGCTCTGCCGAGACCCCATTCCTCACATCACGATCAGGGAAATGTCCCCACGTAAGGGAACAGGTGACGGGACCACAGCCTCGCACTGTGGCTTGCCCAATGCCGAAGCAGTCGCCTGACGCGCTGCACAAGCGTAGAGCTGTTTGTGCAGAAGATACAGTCCAGGACGCCACCTGCCGTCTCCATGGACTCTCAACACCACCCACTCTACACACATCTGAGGCGGTTTGTGACAACAGGCCGGTTCGGAGGAATTACCAAAACAATGCTGCTCCTGGCTGCTGTGGCTCAGTGGTTAGAGTATTGGCACCCAAGGGTCTCGGGTTCAATTCCCGGTCAAACCAGGTCAAAGGTCCGGGGCATGGCCCCGGGGGCCCGTGCAGAAGGCAGCCAATCGGTGCGTCTCTCAGATGTGTCTCTCTCCCTTCCCTCGCCCCTTCCACTCTCTGGAAAAGCAATGTAAAAAAATCCTCAGGCTAGGATTAACAAAGAAAGAAGACCACAACAATTTTGCAAAAGGTTACATGACAAGAAACATAGTCGTCGGAGAAACAAAGCTGAAGGCAGACACTGTGTTTGGGTAAACCTTAGACTGAGGGAAAGAGCCACATTATTTATGCTGAGACATTTTTAGTTCAGTGTCTCTGCTGAAAGGTGAATGTGTTATAAATCCCACTCCCTCTTGACATAGTCAATGACTAAAGCATTCCTCAGAGCGTCCCGTGCCCTTGTAATCCAGAACAGTTCTTCCGTTTAAAAAACACGCCACTTCTGCGCTGGCTGGTGTGCCCCTGCACGAAGGGCCCCAGGTTGGATTCTGATCAAGGCACATACCCTGGTCAGGCTCCTGCAGGAGGCACCAAGGATGTCTCTCTCATATCAATGTCTTTCTCTCTCTCTCTTCCACTCTCTCTTAAA